GTAGCAATATCACCAAACCATTTGAGTCCATCCACTTGGCTGCATGTCAGTGAAAATATAACAGGAAGCATATGTACATTATATTTAGGTGTTTACATATGTGACGTTGAAAGTTAAAAAAGGATCTACGAATCAAAAATAAGTTTAGAAGAAAAAACGGCTAGCAAGTCTCGGTTTATTGCATTAAAAAGAGCGTAACCACTTATATAAACTTTGCTAAAATAATAATTTTGTAACCATAGGTCCATTTTAACTTTCCTCCTCACACATGTATTATCGTTAAACAAAATTTTGTTCTATTACGACGACTTTCGACACTAATACTTACTTTCACCAGTTATAATAAAATTATCGATCATGATTTGTGCACCATTTGCAAAGTCACCAAATTGTGCTTCCCAAATGATCAGCTTTTGAGGATCGTCTATGGCCATGCCGTACTCGAATCCCAGTACTGCTTCTTCGGACAGTATGCTATGCGCGATTTCGAGCTTGCCGTCGTGCCCGCCTTTCATACTATTAAGTGGTATGTACATTTCGTTAGTCTTCTGATCGACCAACATTATATGACGATGAGAGAACGTACCACGCCCCACATCCTCACCACTTATTCGTATGTGGTGACCCTGATACATTAGACTGCCGATGGCCAATGCCTCCGCAGTGGACCAATCAATTTTTTCGCCGTTATCAAGTTTTTTTCGACGTCCCTCAATATGCGTCTTCAAAAGATGTGGATGTACGTTCTGCAAAAGCAAAATAATGAAAATGCATTGTGCTATGTGTTTAACTTAAGTGTGTCTTACGAAATCTGGCGGATGATAAACGCTCTGATGTCCGATGTAATTAAGTAATTGGTAATCAAGTCCGGTATCCCAGACGGTGATTGTTTCTGTTGCACTTGTCAAACCCGTCCACTGTTTTTTGAAATAGTTTGCTTCTGGTCTATAACTCTTTGCCTGCGACAACTCCGAATCTAAGTAATCCCAATAAGATTGACGCATTGCTTTAGCTTCTTCATTAGAAAGTACACTTAATTGTATCAGCTTTTCCACGTACAAATCCGGCACAGTTCTATGAAATTAAAATTATGCTTTGTAAAACAATTTCGATATTCTGGTCATACAAACTCAACAAACCGACTTGCGATTGTGTATGATCTGGTACACACTGGGATTCGTAAAGGTTGGATCATCCATTTCGTTATGCCCCCAACGACGGAAACAATTCATATCAATGAAGACATCTTTTCGAAATTTGCGTTGGTATTGCATTGCCAAATGAGTTATTAAGGTCACCATTTCGGGATTATCTCCATTTACGTGAAAAACGGGTGCCTGTATAGTCTTGGCCAGATCAGTTGCGTAATCTGTAGAACGACCGCGTTCTCCGGGTGTCGTGAAGCCGACCTGATTATTCACAATCAAATGTACGCTGCCACCAATTTCAAAGTGTGGCACATATGCCATGTTAAGACATTCCTGATTGACACCTTGGCCGGCGAATGCAGCGTCGCCATGTATAATTAGATTCAGGACTGTTGTACCAAATGGCGTATTTGGGTCAGCACTAAAGGCGCCATCACGAAGTGTTTGTTGTTTTGAGCGAGTTTTACCCATTGAGACGGGATTAACGGCCTGATGTGAGAGTAAATGAATATGAATTGTAAGAGGTTTAACTGTTTCCAGGACGAAACAATAAAATCCAGTTCGAAACTATTCTTTTATGCCTTAAACTTCTATTCTTAAAAAAATTAGGGCTCAAAGTAGCTTTGCCCCTATCGGCAAATGTTCCCCTAGTTCGAAAGCTTATTTTGAGAGGAGTTTTGGGTCATTAAAATCAATAAAAATATTGTTAATAATATTCTCATTTTCGTTGTTGGTGTTTCCGACAGGGTCGGAGTGTAAAGAACGAAAAATTGCACTGAAGATGACACAACGCCGAAACCGGTTTGTCTCCAAACCAAATTTGACAAGGGATGACGGAAAATCGTTCCACATTACATCACATTGTTAATAATAGTTGCTATCCCGTACGAGTCCGGACTAGTCAGAAATAGTCAGAATCAGTCGGATTTTACTGGAAATCGATCCCGTACACGGTTCTCTGACTATTGAGAGTACAAAAAATTGAGTAAATGGCTCCCCTCTCTGTCAGAAGTTACCAGTTTTAGTCTGAAGATTTTTTGCTGGTAAATTCTGGTAATTGTGTCAAACGATCAGCTGTAGTGTGTTTGGCAACCAACTTGTAAACAAAAGAGGAGTGCACTCTGCTAATTCGTATTGAAAAGTATTTAATTACTTGTTTAAGTCACTGATGGACACTGTCTTGCCCGCGGGCAAAATTCTCTTAAGCTTCCTTTACATTTTGTATAGGAACGTGCAGAGTAAAAGCTCTCTCTGCTCATCGCTGGTTTAGGTGGATTTCTAATGAATTTGAAAGTATTTTTGGTTATTTACATGTGTGAGCTATACACAAAATAAGCAAAAAGTTACAACCAAAATTTGGAGGTTATGTTGAAGTTGACAGAAGTTTCAGTGATACTCTCTCGCTCTGAGCGAGTTCTTATTTTTTGACAGTTTTACTAGTTTTAGTTCGAAAAATACGGGATTGCACCTAATATCGATTATAATATACCGATACGACATATGTACATATCGTCATTTGAAGTACAAAATCGCGTATCAAGATAATGCAAAACCGCGTAAGTAAGGACCTTGGAACCACCCTGCGGCAATTCAGACTCACCCTAGCTTAGCCCTCAGATAGTCCCTATTGTTACCAGCACTAGTCCCTCATAATTCCCCTGCCAATGATTTCAACTGCCATTTTTAGCATTGGCGTGCCATTGGAAAAGGACCGGTCCACTCAACAGTGACCGTAGATAGTCCTGGACTAATCCAATTTTGGAGATTTTTTTTTTGTTGGACCACGATTACGTTCTGCACTTCACAAAAAAAAAAAAAATATTTTATCATTCTACAACCATGTTGCTTTTGACGGCATTTGAACCCGGACCCTTCTGAAAGCTAACAAATAGTGGCAAGCATCTCTGCGCACTGAGCTACAGCCACACATGTAAATGTGTGTCCAAATGTTCACTTTGAATCAAGGCCAGATGAAGCGATTGGGGCATTTACAGGGTGGTGTTCTTAATTTTTTTTATTGAATTACAAGACAACACCACCCTGTCACTGCCAAACTGTACTTTTCGTCTATCTCTAGACCGATTCGTTGGGAACTGGTCGAAGGCTGATATTTTCGATGCAATTCCGACCAGTCAAATCTTAACCAGGGAAGTACTATTGCTGTAGGGCAACTTGTTTACACACATACATACATATGCGTCTGGAGAACACACTAGAGTAGCAAAAAAATATGTAGACTGACAAAATGACCTGCTAGACTTATTTCTAGAATTATGTTCGCAACATTTTCGGTTGTTAAAATTCGGAAATCTATATTGCATAAAAATACAAAACAAAATCATAACTCACTACTCACCTCCAAATGCGATGGATTTCTCAATAAACTTATGTGTATCTTCTTGCCCTCCACCTCCAAGTCCTCGGATGAATCTAAGGGCGCATATTATAAAAAGTGGAAAAAGGTGTAACAAAGTCACTTTTCTAATTAAATTACTTGAGCAAAAACTACTTGCAACTTTACAAAGTTCATTATTAAGCTTTTGGCTATCCCTTCACCCTTTGCAACAGTTGCTTGAGTGATAAACTTACGGAAATGACTTAAAGTGTCGGACATCGCTTGTGCATCGTCTGGGAACTCCGATTCGCCGCTAAGTTTGTGGAAAATTTTTGCGGGACGCATATTAAGCATAACTGTTTGGAGTGGCAGGCGTCCGCGATGTGGCATGGCCACTACCAAATCGCTAATGTCAACTTGAAGCAGAAATAAGAAATGCAAAAAAGTTGATAAATAATGGCAAAAGTGAAATGAGCGCCAATTAAAGTACACTTGCGGTGTTGCCTACTTAAAACTAGTACACGCGGCTAAACAAGTTTGAAGAGAATTTGCAGTTGAACTCACCTTGCACGGCGCTGCGTAAAAGTTGCCAATAGAAGGCCAAGAGGCTTTCAGCACCCTCGCCACCATAACGTTTAACGCTCGCGAATCTTATCGCCATAAAATTATCCCACGTCTGTGACTTGATTAGCAATTCGGCTATCTGACGCCGGGCATCGTTGCTAATTGTAAATTCTGCATCCTGTTGCTGATGGCCAGCAACGAGTCGTTCGAAATGATGCGCAAGCCATTCGCGCTCCTCGAGGCTCTGTGGCAGCAACGTACACAAAACAAAAAAAAAGTGATGCAGCGAGTTAGTTAGAGGTATTAGCGTAGTACAAGAAATACATATATTTTAAATAGAAGGATGGGGATAGGGTAGATTAAAAATGAACAGACATGAATTCGATGTGAGCTTGTACGCGTTATATGTGTGTATGAAGGTGTGGATTAGGAAAAGGCCACACAGCAGTGATATATGTGTGTACATATGCATGTACATTGAGGTGGTCAAAAATACATGCGGGGAAAAAGTTCAAAATGTTAAGCCCTCACTCATAGGACTTTTCTAAATGGAAAAAATAATACCCTTATTTTTTGTTAAAAATACACACATATATATATATATATATATATATATATTTAGAACTGCTTAAAAGCAAGAAATGATCTTTTTAAATATTTTAATTAATTTGTAATAGTATGTAAGAATATATCTGTGGACGAATAAAAAAATAAATAAATTTTTCGATCGGAATAATACCCAATTGTTTATTTAAACATTTTTAGTTATTGATTATTTCTTATAGGTCCACAAAAAAGCAATGTGAGACCCTTGAAAAATCGTTGGTATTAAAAAATGGCAACAAACAATTGGATATTATTATTGGAAGTTTCCTGAAGAGAAACAAAGTTTTCCGATAAAAAATAACGACTTTCAAGAATTCTACACCATTTCTACGAAAAAATGGGAAAATTCACGGCTTTTGAGGCAGTTCTAAATATATATATATTTTTTACAAAAAAAATACGGGTATTCTTTTTCTCCATTTAGTAAAATCCTGGAGGTGTTTTCAAGCACGTCGACAATTTGACCAGTTTTGACTATTTTTCTTTCGTTTATTTAATGTTTATATATATTTTTTTTAAAGCTAGCACACTTCAAACATTGTTTATTTAATGTTCAATATTGTTTTCTTATAAAAGTCTAGCTCATTATACAAGTCTAAGATCCGAATAGGGCACGACTTATGTAAAAGGAAAATTATCAAAAATCAACGGTATTTTGTAAACATTTAAAACTTGCCCTTTATCCTACTAGAGTTTAGTGGGATATTAAACTGCATATATAAACTTTTCTAAAAATTCTGAATAAAAAGTTTGAGATTTTTCTGAAAATTTGTTGGATTTTTATAATTTTTGTACAAAGTTGGAAATGTTGATTTATATGTGTTTGTGAAAAAATTATGAAACTTCGGCTCTAATCCTTTCGATCTTTTCTGCACCTCATTTGTAAAGAAATAAGTATTGTACCAGCATGCTGCTACATTATATGCCTCGAGCCTGATGATACAATCTCTTGATAGTGCCAGCAAGCTGGTGTCGTATATGTAAGTAATAAATTTTAGCTGGCATTTTTAGCCACGACGAGTTTTAGCCCTTTTTTTTAGCTCTTTTTAGCCCTTTTTTAAAAGAAATTTCGCTACCGCTAAAAATTATTCGCAGCAACATCGCTGCCAGGTTTCGTGTCGCGGCGAAGACGATCAGTCCCTCCCCGTTGTCGGAAGTGTTGTAATGAAGGCTGAATTGTCCGACTGCTGGACCAATTGTGCCTTGTTTGCACACCTTAGCGTTAAAGTTGCCAAAGACAATTTTAATATTATGCGGATCGTGGCAATTCACTCACTTGTGCGCCGCACAGTAGTCTGAAAGTGGCCGAATGCCTAAATTTCGAGTTTGCTTTCTTATATTGGTTTTTGTTATAGCTGCAGGGCGTACCAGTCGCCGATTTTTATCGTCTTTACGATTTAAGTTTTTATGGCGGAAACTAAAAAACAAACCGCATTTCATTAA